ATTATGGCAATTTTCCCCTGCCTGACCTCCTGGAAGATGGAGCCCAGGCAGGGTCTATAGAAGAGGTTCAGTTAGAGGACCGACTAACTGAGGACCAACACGGATAGGCAAAGCAGATGTTGTCCACCAAGAGCACAACGTTCTCCAATCTCCCAGGGAATACCCCCCTGGCCACCCATAGGGTGGAGATCCCCGACCAGCAACCTCTATGGCAGACCCACCTCTACGGCAGACCCCATACCGGGTGCTGGAGGCTGTGCGGGGAAGTATGCTCCAGGAGATCCAGGAGATGCTCTGGATATGAGTCATCAAACCTTGGGCCTCCCCAGTAGTCCTAGTCCCGAAGAAAGACGGGGCTACCAGGTTCTGTGTGGACTACAGGAGGCTCAACGACAAGATGGTCTCCGATGCCTACACCATGCCCCGCAAAGATGAGCTGCTCGATAGGATGGCTCGGGGCTGATACCTCACCTGCACTGACCTGTGTAAGGGGTACTGGCAGATGCCCCTAGCGGCATATGCTGTCCCCAGGTCCGCCTTCATCACCTCCTTTGGCCTGTACCAGTTTAAGGTAATGCCATTCGGGATGAAGAAGGCTCCAGCCACTTTCCAAAGAATGTTGGACAGGCTATTAGATGGCCTACCGGATTATGCCTGTGCATACCTAGACGGCATCGCCATATACAGCGATACTTGGGAGGAACACCTGGTACATGTGGGGGAAGTGCTGGACAGGATTAGGGAGGCAGGATTGACTCTGAAGCCCAGCAAGTGCAGCCTAGGGATGACGGAGGTACAATACCTGGGCCACTGGGTGGGGTGTGGAACACAGAAGCCTGAACCAGCCAAAGTAGAGGCAGTAGCTAGCTGGCCCAGTCCCCTTACTAAGACCCAGATGCGACCCCCGGGAGGGAGGGGAGGACCCTGGGAGGGGACATTGTCTTCATGTGTGTTCCACCCGTTGCATGGGGAAAGTATAAAGCCACTTGTGGCCAATAAAGTTGTTGTACCCCTGGAATTGTGTGTCGGCCGGTTACTGGGGAAGATGGGTGGGGTGTGGAACACAGAAGCCTGAACCAGCCAAAGTAGAGGCAGTAGCTAGCTGGCCCAGTCCCCTTACTAAGACCCAGATGCGACCCCCGGGAGGGAGGGGAGGACCCTGGGAGGGGACATTGTCTTCATGTGTGTTCCACCCGTTGCATGGGGAAAGTATAAAGCCACTTGTGGCCAATAAAGTTGTTGTACCCCTGGAATTGTGTGTCGGCCGGTTACTGGGGAAGATGGATCACTCAATTCTTTTATAACGGAGGTAACCGGTTGGAATACCAGGTGTCCCGCTACAACAGGCCTAGATAGGTTTGTCTTTTTTAGCTTGGCTTTTAGTTTCCGCCAATCTTGCACCAACTTTTCATTCACTGAAAGCTGTCTTTCCACAGCTCTGTTTCTATACTGTTCAGCAAACATAATCGCTTGTAGCTTGAAGCCCACAGAATAGTTTTTATATTTACCTATCATCACAGGTTTATGTATCGCTGACAGATTAACTGTACAGCTAGCGAGGGAAGATGCAAATCTCACCATATGACGTGTGCAGAGAATTACATGCTCGCAATGCGCAAGAGATGCAACGATTACGTGATACATTTCTTTGTGACCAGTTTTGAATGGAAAAACTAGGGTGCGACGATTATGCGATGGCAACGAGCATGCAGTGAAATACGGTATATAGTAGGGATCAACCGATATTGATTTTTCAGAGCAGATACCGATACCGATAATCTGTTAACTTTCAGGCCGATAGCTGATAACTTGCCGATATTCTGTACATTTACCATTTTGAAAAAATAAACTATTTCAACATGTTTCATCATGTGAACATGTTGAAACCGTACTTCGAACGCCCTGAGGACGTGGCGGCCATCTGCGCCCTGTCCACAGATGATAGTGAGGGACTTCCCTTACCCAACCTGCTGGCTGCGAACCAAGGCACCTTAGAGCAGGTCGGGTTGGGGGAAAAGTTAGATCTTACACAGAAGGCAGACGCACAACAACTGCTCCAGGAATACGGGAGATTGTTCTCCGCCCTACCTGGATACATCACGGCCGCAGTCCACCGGGTAGAGACAAGGGGGTGACACCCCCTTATGGCAGCAACCTTACCGTATTCCAGCAGCAGTGCGGGCCAGCATGTGGAAGGAAATACAAGAAATGTTGGAACTAGGGGTCATTGAGGCTTCCCAAAGTCCCTGGGCGTCCCCGGTAGTTCTAGTGCCGAAGCGAGACGGTACAACTCGCTTCTGTATTGACTACCGGAAACTGAACGACCGGACTATAACCGACGCCTACCCCATGCCCCGCATCGACGAATTGCTTGATCATATGGCTAGTGGGCACTTCCTAACTACCTTAGACTTGTGCAAGGGTTATTGGAAGATCCCGCTAGACTAGGCCGCCATACCTAAGTCGGCATTCGTCACCCCAATCGGGCTATACCAATTTCGGGTTATGCCCTTTGGGATGAAGAATGCTCCGGCCACCTTCCAATGGGTGGCGGACCGACTTCTGGAGGGAATGCAGGACTTCGCATGTGCCTACCTGGATGATATTGCTATCTATAGCGGCACATGGGACGCCCACCTGACGCACTTGGCTACGGTATTGGGGAGAATACAGGAGGCAGGGCTCACCCTAAAACCCAAGAAATGTCATGTGGGAATGGTGGAGGTTCAGTACCTAGGACATAGAGTTGGGTCCAGGAAACAGCGCCCCGAACCCGCCAAAGTAGAAGCCATAGCCAACTGGCCCCAGCCCCGCACCAAGACACAAGTGTTGGCATTCTTAATCACCGCAGGGTATTACCGGAAATTCGTCCCCGACTACAGCGCCCTGGCCAAACCTCTCACCGACTTAACCAAGAAGGCCTTGCCCAAGCAGGTAGCGTGGTCCCCGGATTGTGCAGCAGCCTTCCAGAAACTGAAAACTGCATTAAGCGAGGCTCCAGTATTGGTGGCCCCAGACCCCACTAAAACTTTTCTCGTTCACACAGATGCCTCCATGTTTGGGCTGGGAGCCGTGCTGAGCCAAGTGGGGGAAGATGGAATGGAGCACCCAGTGGCATATATCAGTCGCAAGCTACTACCTCGAGAAGTCAGCTATGCCACCGTGGTGAAGGAGTGTCTGGCACTAGTATGGGCACTAAAAAAGCTCCAACCATATCTTTATGGTCGTGCATTTACTCTACTAACTGACCATAATCCCCTCATTTGGCTCAACCGAGTATCTGGAGACAATCCCCGGTTGCTTCGCTGGAGCTTAGCGTTGCAACCCTACAATTTTACACTTCAATACCGCCCAGGCAAGCAGAATGGCAATGCGGATGGTCTTTCCCGCCAAACCAACTTGGATATATAACTGTGTTACCCGGTCATCCCCAAGCCAACCCAGCAGGGTCTAGGCGGGTATGCCGACCCATGGGACTAAGGGGGAGTATTGTGAAGAAAATAGACTTATTTTCTGCATTTTCTTCTTAATTCGTGAATTTCTGCAATATTTTGTTTATTTTGGATTTATTGGTTCGGTAGTTTTAAACTACCGACCACCCTCCTGGCTCATTAACTTCAAAAGAGAACCGTCTATTAAGCGCTCTCTGGGTGCCCGCCGTTCGTATAGCCGAATGCCACGTGGAACAGAAAACGCTGGCCATCTTGTTTGCACAAAAGGAGGCAGCGGAACTTGGTCGTCGAGTGTCTGGAACTAAAATTTGACACTCGACTTCCCGAACCACTGCTGAAACATACGAACGCCTGCTTCCTTTTGTTGCCGAACAGCTAGGAGAGCGCCATTCGGTAGTTTGCTTCATACGAAGAAGAGGGGCAATCGCTCCTATAACCCTGGAGGCTCCATTAGTGTCTTTATTAGTTTTTATGCCATTTTCTGAATTGACTGACCGCACACTGAATTCATGGAACTGTTTTGGGCAGGAGCCTCGTGTGCAGTCGGTAAACTAAGACTTCCATACTTTGTGAGAACCCCTGAACCGATCTGGGTGAAATTTGAATATGTTGGTCTCCCAGATCGGGGCTATCAGGGGACATGTCATTTGTGGGGATACCTTGTGTGTAAAGGGGTGTTCTAAGTTTTGGGGAAATTGTGTGCTCTCTGCCTGGAGATAATTGGGTTATTCCTTAACTTATCTCATTATCTCCCAGGCAGAGAGAGGGAGTGTTTTACTGTTAGTCTGTACGATGATTGGTTGTTCCTTTTGTTTACCTTGAGAGGTCCTCTTGCAGGAGGATTTCCATAAAAGCCAGTGGGGCATCAATAAAACATTATTCCTGTTACACCCTTCATGAAGTCTAGGCTCATGCTTGGGGAATATTATACTTTCTTGGGTGAATCGTCTTGGAAGCTGCATTTAGCTACACTATTCCTCTACACCCTAACTGCAGTTATAATCACTTATACTCAGCTATTGGCAAAAGAATAAAAGACCTCAGTACCATAACCACTGAAGGTCATAACACCCAGTAGTTACATGTGTACATGTCCAATTATATTCTAGCCCAAGGGGAGGCAAATTTCCACAGATATTGTGGACTACATCTCCACTGATGCTTAGCCAGCATTATGGCTGTAAAACCATTAAGGGAATTGTAGTCCAGATTAGAATATCTAGAGTGTCTGTTTGCCTATCCCTGCTCTAGACAGACTAGCAGTGTATCACTGTTGTATCTAGGGGGATTTAGTCCACATCATTTCAAGTATGTCCTTATCAGACACTTCACTCTGTCCTACAGCCCATCCTTGTTATTCTCTGGAATGTTCACTTTAATGTGAACCAATAAAGTTATCGCTACTTCGAAATAGGGGGCGGGGTCAGGCTTCTGCGCATGCGCAGTGTTGAGCATCTATCCCCAGCTTTTCCCTTTCCGGTAACAGACTGCGTTGATTGAGTAGACGGACCGGAAGTGGAGATCCCTGGTTCCAGACAGACCCTGGCGGCTGGAGCGAGGGGGAGAGGAGGAGGAGGAGGGAGGAGGTGGTGGCAGTCTCATTTTTATTCTCTGTCTGCCGAACCGTGAGCGGGCACGGTAGCCGTCCAAGGGGGGAGCCAGGTCCGTGCACACGCCCGCGCGCCCCCCGGTGCCGCCAGGGAGCCGTGAAGCTGGACGTAAAGATGAATGTTGGTGTGTAGTACTCACTAACCGTGTGTGTGTTTATACTGTGCTTACCGAGCGCTCCATTTCCCAGTCCATAGAGGTTTATATTGTGCATACCTACCTACCTCTCCATTTCCCAGTCTATAGAGGTTTATATTGTGCATACCTACCTACCTCTCCATTTCCCAGTCCATAGAGATTTATATTGTGCATACCTACCTACCTCTCCATTTCCCACTCCATAGAGGTTTATATTGTGCATACCTACCTACCTCTCCATTTCCCAGTCTATAGAGGTTTATATTGTGCATACCTACCTCCTCTGGTACTCCATAGAGGTTTATATTGTGCATAGCTATCTCCCTTGGCACTCCACAGAGGTTTATATTGTGCATACCTACCTCCTCTGGTACTCCATAGAGGTTTATATTGTGCATAGCTATCTCCCCTGGCACTCTACAGAGGTTTATATTGTGTATAGCTATCTCCCCTGGCAGTCCATAAAGCAACCAGAGGGGAGACAGCTATAGCTAGTTAATTAGAGTATTCCATTAATATCTGAAGCCAGACCCATTGTGTATGGGGAGCTGGAGCTCTGGCTATGTGCTGTGCATGTTAATGAGGAGCTCTGGGTGTCACCAGACAGGCAGGCAGGGAGCCTTTGTCATTTACTGTCATACTGTGAACCTGCAAGTGACAGTGCAGTAAGTAGCTAGTTACCTTTTAATCACAATACGTCTGCCGTTTACTTATTTGGTATTAAATTCATATGTAATCTAAATGATTTTATCTCTTTTCTTCCAATTGTATACATAGGTTTATTTATTTATATTTAGACGTTCCATAGGGTAATGCCTAAATTCTCATATGTATAATTAAGCATGTTTCTGATTTGGATGAGAGAATGCATCACCTTTGAATTTGGTTTTATTTGTTGAATTTTTATATCTTTTTGTTTTTGGTGGGTTCTTCTCCCCCTGGCCCTCCCCAACCCCCCCCCTCCTTTTTTAATTTTTTTTATTAGAAATTGTCTTATGCAAAGGGATCTTATTATTGGTTAAGAGCAAATAAGTCACTGGGGAAATGTATTGTCTATCGTATTAATAGATCAACTTATAGGAATACTGATGTTTTGTGTGAGAATTTAAATACTCTCATCAATTGGCACAAAGCCCAATGTTCTGTTTTTTTTTAGTGACTTAAAGAAACTGAGATGCTTTTTTCCCCTTCGTTCAGCACCAAAAATAAATGGTTGATTTTTACACGTTTATTCCATTTGTTGTGTTTTACATTATTTTGGAAATAAATATGACATTCTAAATAGCCATCAATATTTCTTTAATGTTTCATACCTAATTTTGCCATCCTTGCTCAGGAGGGAGTTGAAAATTTGTGCTGATTTGTACATCATTACTGCTCATCATTAAATAACACTGGCTACACCCTATCAGCAATTTGTTGCGAATTGCAAATATCTAATGTCAGCTGAGTGAAATAGTTGATTGAAAAAATAAATATTTGTGTTCATGTCATATGCTCATCACTAAATTTTTCATTCTTTTTTTACTAAAGTATTTCACTCTTTAACAATGTTTACTGGTGTGAAAATATATATATATATATATATATATGTATATATATATATATATATATGTATGTATGTATGTATATATATATATATATATATATATATATATATATATATATATAGAGAGAGAGAGATATATCTCAATTGCATTTGTGCAATGTTGATAATTATTTACTACAGGTTGTTTAATTGTACAATCAAAAAATAGTTAATTATCAATAAAAATTCAGGACAATCTTCCAAAGGTAATATTTAATAACACGTTTGTACCATAAAATTCATAAAAGCCGGTTGGCCTTTCTTGTCTGCCAATTTCCGATCTACCCGTGCAAGATTTATTCTTTATACTTGCCCTGCAGAGTTGTCTTTTCCAGTTGTTGAGCTGTCAATGTATTCATTTCTTCCACCTCTGCTGGAATATTATGCAATGTACCTACAACTTATTTCTGTAAAAAATAAATTGTTACCTGGTTATGCACATACATATACCACCTTCTGTGTTTTTTTTTTTTTGTTTTGTTTTTTATGATCTGTTGATTGTTTTTTAATTATAATTCTTACCATTTTTACATGTTTTTGTACAGGAAACCGTGCAACTGGAACAATGGTTGATGCGGTGCATTATATCCACTTGCAGAACTTCAGCAAATCTCTGCTTGAGACCCTTAATGCACAACGCTTGGGTGGTCATTTCTGTGATGTCACTGTGCACATCCATGATGCAACTTTGCGGGCTCATCGATGTGTTTTGGCTGCAGGCAGTCCTTTCTTTCATGACAAACTGCTCCTGGGCTACTCAGAGATTGAAGTTCCACCAGTGGTACCCACCCAAGTTGTACAACAATTAGTGGAGTTTATGTACAGTGGGTCTCTGGTCGTTGCACAATCTGAGGCTTTACAGATTTTGACAGCAGCCAGTATACTGCAGATCAAGACAGTCATTGATGAGTGCACCCAAATCATTTCCCAGAGCAGGTCCAAACAAGGCCCTATTGCTAGTGCCATGTCCTCCTGTGGCTCACAAGGTAGATCATCCATTAACAAACTCCAAGAACAATCTACAAAGAATACAGACTGCCAGGCAACAATAGGACTCCGCGACTCTGGTGGTATCACATCAGGCCTGAGAAATGAAATGGCGATCATCTCTCAAATGGGGAATGTCAGTGAAACGCCCAAATTAATGTGTGCTTCAGAAATTAGATACAAATTAAGAGACATGCTGTCTTCGCAACAGAGGCAGCTACCTGAAGTGCGGGAGATCACGGTCCCAGATGTTGAGACTGTATCAGAAGGTGAAAACTTACCAACAGCATACTTGACTCAAACAGAGGCACCACAAAGCTGTCACAGCCGAAAACAACGTCAGCCAGTACGCCTCCAGGTCTCTGATTCTGTGCCTGTGATAATCAAAGATGAGGAGGACGATGAAGAAGAAGAAGATTGCAGTGGAAGAGAAGCAGGAGAAGAGGAAGAAAAAAGTATGGCTTTCAATGAATGCAGTGGTGGATTTCCCAGCTGCAGTGAAAATGAGAAAGAAAGAAGTCCAGATAGTAACAAAACTGCCACTGAAGGAAATGACAGAAAAGACTCTTCTGGGCAAATAGTAGAATTTAATGCAGAGGGACCAGACTTCTTTACTAATCAGGATGTATTCTCTGAAACTTTTATACCTCCTTGGCAGAACGAAGAGAATATTTCTGATGGTGCCCGTGAAAGCTCAATAGAAAACACTGGTGAAAAATTCCGTTCGGACTGTAGTTTAGATGGCTCAAGCCTAAGAAATTTGGCTGCGGTGGCAAGCTCAGACTTCAAGTCGAGCCCTCCCTTTAATTCTCGTGTTGGGGAATCCAGGGGACTTCCTTTTGTGGCATCGCTAATTCCCAGAGATATCAAGAACTCTTCTGTATCAGCAGCTGTTGCCACAAGCACTTCAAGTATCTTCCAGTTTCACCTGACACATCCTAATCATGTCCAGAGTGGTGTCACACAAGGTTTTTTTAGTGTTCAACAAGAAGGTGCTACCAATGTTGTCCAGTTAAACTCAAATATGCTCCCTGGAACTGTACAAAATGAATCCTCACAGCGTCCTGGGCCATCACGTAACCCAGAACCATCTTATGTATGCAGCCATTGCCAGAAAACATTCAGTTCTAGAAAGAACTACACTAAGCACATGTTTATACATTCAGGTAAGCGCTATACATTCTCAAGTTTTTTTCAATTGTGCTAAACCTGTGTTACAATTTTCACTTTTTTATTTTTTGCTCCTGTAATTTCTAAACAAAATGAACACAATTCACCTGTGAGCTTGTTTTATGCACGTTAAACGTGCCTCTGCAAAATCACCAGTCTTTCCATAGGTTATATCCTGCAAGTTAATGGTTACTTACCTCTAAGCAAGTGGAAGAGGTTCTCATCACAGCTCTACTGCGCCTTCTGGAGATTATCATTATTGATCTCCCAGCCAGTTTATTGCTTCTCATAGAGAAACACTGAGAAGCAGTGTGTGTGCAACAGTCACACTGCACATCCTCCTCACATGTTGGGTGTGAGGAAGAGCACCCACTTGGCTGTCTGACTGGTTTTATAAAAATGCCAATTTCTTTACAACCTGCACTTTTCTAAAGTGAGACAGCAAGGACACTTAATGCCTGTCACTTAAGCAAGCTGGAGTCATTTAGAGTTTTTTATTTCTTGAAAACTAGATTCCTTTAATCACTACGTTTGCACATGTTTTTTTTTCACCAGTTTTAAGCACTCTTGTTATTGCTTTTTTGATAAAGCAGGTTTTAACTTCAAATAGATATGGGTGACGCTTCACAATATCACTGAGTTGTACTCCAGTCATGCACCGGGTGGTGCATGTGGCTCCATGAACATGGATGTGAATATCTGCTAGGAATATTGCTTGCACACCTCCTGTTTTATGTGAATGGCCACCTGGCCGTAGAAAACATGTCCAAACTGTATGATTTTCTTTTAACAAACTTGCATATATCATTTTGGGTTTTGAATAGCAAACTATATATTCTCTAGTGTACAAACTGGTTGACACTTGTTGTGTAGGAAGTTCCATACAATTGGCAATCTAATTTGTTTTAAGAGCCAGGGAAGTAGTTCATGTGTGGATGGTTGTTTTAGGTACCATGTCAAAAAATAAATTGATTTCATGGTGAAATATTTAGGAGCCACAAATCTTTATTTTTATTTTTTATTTTCCGTACACTTATTTTATAAAAGCATTTTAATGACTTGTTTGTTTATTGCAATGTTTCTGCAGGCATTTTAGAAAGTCTGATGTCTGTACTCACACAGCTAAATGTACACAATACTGCTGTACACATAATTACAGTATGGAACCAATGCCTGGCTGGCTATCTTTGTCTGTGTGTGGTATAAGGTTTCATTTAATTTTAGAACTTCTTATTTGGAAAATTGTTTAGATTCCCAGTTATAACACTGAAATAGAAAGAACAGCATGACTGCCATATATAGACTGTTTGTGTGAGTTATTATTACTGCTCTTAAATTGGTTTCCGAGGAGTTTATTTCAGGGACGGTGTGTAAGATGTTCTGTCGTAGTGTTAGTACCAGTGTAGTCAGGTTTCACCTGAGTGGGAATTTTTACAGTGTGTTGTGGAAATTTTATGTAGTGCAATCGTTTCCCGAAGTCAACATTTCAAAAACTTACACTTAGGTTTTTGAGTCTTTTTTTTTTTTCTCTTTTGTAATTGTAAAGTGTTAATTCTGCACTGTTAGTGATAGTGAACATATTACCTTTTTAGAAGCAGTAAAGGTACCAAGATTAAAAAGAAACTTGATAACTGTTTTATTCAGATTTACCACTACTGAAGAAACGAGCATATATTAATTTATATTTTTGTTACTTAAACTCACTGGACAACATGGGATGAAACCTCTAATCTCTTGGATACTGATTATGCTCTACTAGCAAGTTCTCAATCTCCCAATGATTAATTGTTGTTTGCTGGCTGATGGTATAACTCTTTTCAGTGACTGTTACCCTTATATGGGCACAGTACAATGTTAATTTTGAAGCACATCTTAGGAGACCTGTCTTTCCTATTTATTTATTTTGCTTTGTTTATTATTTCTGGCTGGAAACATTCGGCATAAAATATTCATTTTGCAAACAAATGCATTAACTTTCTCAAATGAATAGTTATAAGAAAGCAGTAGTCTTGTTGAAGGGCTACTAAACTGGTTCATGGATTACAGAATAAAACTTTCGAGGAAAGGTTAAAGGATCTTAACGTGTATAGCTTGGAGGAAAGACAAGACGGTGGATATGATAGAAACATTAAAATACATAAAGGAGGAGACTGTATTTTAAAAGAAGAAATAATACCACAACAAGTGAACATAGTCATAAATCAGAGGGGCAAAGGTTTAAAAATAATTTCAGGAAGTATTACTTTACTGAGAGGGTAATGGATGCATGGAAATAGCCTTCCAGCTGATGTGGTAGAGGTTAACACAGTAATGGAGTCTAAGCATGCATGGGATAGGCATAAGGCTATCCTAGACTCAAGATAAGGCCAAGGACTAATGAAAGTATTTAGAAAATTGGGCAGACTAGATGGGCCAAACGGTTCTTATCTGCCATCACATTCTATGTGTCTATGTTTAAAAACGAAGAAGCAAAAAATAATTTACAGGAAAATTGTTTTCCCCCTTGTTTTGGTTATGGTGCCAGCATGCCCCTGACACTTGCCGAAGGTTCTGTGTCAAAGTGTTTGAGTGGTTTGACACTCGAGCACTCTTGGCCCTGGACCCTCTCTTGGCATATTGCCATTGTTACACATCCGCTCTAACAGTATCAATTTTGTCCAGATTTAAATGACATTGATTGGCTTAGTGAATTATGTATGGATCGAAGTGAAAGTGTAACTGCCGTACTTGCAAGATGCCGAGCAAGGGACTAAACAATAGACACCCAGGCAGACCACTCAAACATTGTTTGATGCAGTATCTTGGGATGAAGTTAGAGGTTAACTGGCATCATTAGCACTATAACCAGCTGTATTTAAGAATGCCTCTTTAAAGGAAAGTCTAAGCACTACAATATCTTCCTTCAAAGTTAAAAGCCAGTTGTGAGAAACGGCTGGTTATATTTTTGCAATGCCAAAATACCTGGTGGCTGTTATTCAGAAATTTCACTGCTTTTCAAAGAGAAACATTAGGTTGGCAAATAACTTGTATGAGAAGTATTTGATTGGACAAGTCATTAGCATGAGCAGGCAGATTCTGCTGCATGGAGGAGTCTGTCTTTACTCTGGATTAGAGTTAAGTTTAGTTATGATTTAAAATGATGATAAAGGGCATACTTAGAAAAACAAAACATGAAATGAAATGAGGGTGTGGGACCAGCTTAACTGACAGATCAAGACAGGAGGGAGAGGAAGATCACCGAGGAGGGGGACAAGAGACGGGACACAAAACGCAAAAGCGAATCGGTAATCATAGGTGGCTTGAGGCAGGCCCAACCACACACACCTGGGGTTAGAGGGTACACCCTTAAGGGACGCAATGGGAATGTAAATAGCAACACGTGTATGCAGTCCCTATGTTGTGATTAAAATGTTCCTGCAACACCCTTTTTTCCTTCTGTACCCTGGCGAGCAGGTGCCACAATTTGAATTGAAACAACATGGAATACAAATAAAACAAAAAATGTTGGTGGGAGGAAAAAAGTGCAAGCATAGAGAATAAAGGAATCTAGTTTTCAAGAATAACAAACCTTTAAAGGATTATAGCTTCCTTAAATGATTTAGGAGTTAACAGTATCCTTGCTTTTTCACTTTAGAAAAAAAGTGTAGGTTTCAAGTAAATACAACCACAAGATTTTTAACAACCATAAAGCTAAAATGTTGAAGCCATTTGTGAAAAAACTAAGTACACCTAATAATTCAATAGCGTGTAGAACCATCTTTAGCAGCAATAACTTGAAATAATCGTTTTCTGTATGACTGTCAGTTTCTCATATAGTTGTGGAGTAATTTTGGCCAACTCTTCTTTACCACGTTGCATCAGTTTAATGAGGTTTGCTGGCATTTGTCTATGCACAGCTATATTAAATGGATACTATAGTGTTAGGAATACAAAACTAATGTGCATGCGTGGCAAAACATTGCGAACGCATTAGACCATCCCCATAATAAAGCATTGCTGTAATGACGAACACTAGAAGTCCTCATGCAAAGCGTGATGTCCAGCGTCAGGCGAACAAAAGTCTAACGACCAAGAAGTGCCTCTATGGCTGTCTGACAGCCACTAGAGGCAGTCTTAACGCTGCAATGTAATTATTGCAGTTTTGTCAGAAACTTTAATAATGACGATTGTGGGGTTAAGAGGACAGGGTCGCTGCACCCAGATCACTTCAATAAGCTAAAGTGGTGTGGGTGCCTATAGTGTTCCTTTAAGATTTATAGGTACCCTTTAATATTTCAGTCAGGTTGAAGTCTTGATTTTTTTACTGAGCCATTACAACACTTTTTTAATTATTTTCTATTTCAGCCATTCTGCTGTAGAATTGACTCTAGAATACTTTGGTATACAGACGAGTTCATGGTCACCCCACCACCACCACCATGCTTGACAGTGTGTATGAGGCGTTTGTTCTGATATTTTGTGTTTTTTGGCACTATGTATTATGACCTCTACTTTGGTCTTGTCTGTCCAGAGGATGTTCCAGAAGTCTTGTGGTTTGTTGAGATGCAACTTTGCAAACCCAAGACATGCTGCCATGTTCTTTTTAAACTAGAGAGAAGAGGCATTCTCCTGGCAACTCTTCCAAACAAACCACCCTTGTTCCGTCTTTTTTTTTTTTTTTAAATTGTACACATATTGTGATCTTTAACAAACATGCTAACTGTGACATGTAGAGTCAGAGAAATGGAACTCTTTTGTTTTTTGCAATGTTTCTGAGCATTGCACAGTCTGACCTTGGGGTGAATTTCCCTGGATGTCCACTCCTGGGAAGACTGGCAACTGTCTTGAATGTTTTCCACTTTTGAATAATGTTTCTCACTCTAGAATGATAGACTTTAAATTGTTTGCAAATGGCCTTATATATAACCCTTTCGAGTTTGATGAGCAGCAATTATTGCTTCTCTAAGATCATTGTTGATTTACTACCTCATTGGCATTGTGTGAACACACACCTGAATGCTCAAGACCAGTAAACTGCTAAAACAGCTTTTATAGAGGTGGTCACACTTGCTGATGATCAATTCATTAAGGGCATTTGATTAACGGCATCTATCTTCTACTTAGCATCTTAATTCCTATAGAAGCAGTAGGGATGTACTTGGTTTTTCACACATGGTATCTCCAGTTTGACTTTATTTTTGTTAAATCATGAAACTGTGTAATAGGTCATGTGCAGTTGTTCATCTGAGGTTGTATTTACCTAATTTTAAGACCTGCTATGGAACAGATGATTGTTTTTATGACCTGAAATGTAAAACCATGGAATTCAAAGAGGCTATACTTTTTTTTTCTTTTTCTTTTTCATTACTGTATATATATCAGAGGCGTAACTACAAACCATGGGGCCCTGGTGCGACAATTGCATTGCCCCCCCCCCCTCCCCCCATAGGTCCGCCCCCTCCCCACACGCGCATGCAGGCGCACACACACATACAGAGAAACATACATACACAAACACATAGAGAAACATACATACACACATACACTAACACACACACATGCAAAATGTTTGTCACCCACCTGTTTCCTACTTTTTAGGTGCAGGAGGGTGACTTTCCTTGGGGTCCAGTGGTGGCTCAGGTTGTTGGAAGTCAGACTCCCACTCTTTCCTCCTGTGCGGCTCTCTGATAGCTGAGGGTCCGATCGCGCTGTTAAAGCGCCGCAGCGCTGACCGGAACCCCCTGGATATTCATTGCCATTGGGTGGCCCTAACAGCATGGGCCACCTGATGAACCCCTTCAATGCTGCCCCGGTGGTTACACCGCGCGGGCCGGGGCCACAAAACATGGTGGCGAGCACTCGGCTGCAGGGGTCCGCAGGGCGGCCGGGCCCCCTGGAGTGAGTGCCCCGGTCGCACCTGCGACCGCGGTAGTTCCGCCAGTGTATAATATAAAACAGAGTTTAAAATGTGAAGTCCTATGCTACTAGCCAGATCTCAAAAAAAGTTGCTCACTACTGCAGTGTGTGTGTATCAATTTAAAATTTTAAAATAATAAAATTGCACAACCTTTGTTTATATGTGCACATTGCAGTTTTGCGACTGCTAGTGGCTGTTCATCTTTCTGTGAAATGTTTGTTGCATCAATAAGATAAGTATATATACTTTCTTATCAGAGTAAGCAAGATAAACGTTCAGTATTCAGAAGACAAAGAACACAACTGTAAAAAATGCAGACTTTTGTTTAAAGTGAAAACAGTTCTCTGTTCCCTTCATGGTTGTGTTTAATTATAAACAGAGTAATCCAATTATAAGGGTGCAGCTTTCAGATTTACATTGTTGTGTTTAAATGTAAGTGGACAAAAAAATTCTATATTTGTATTAGGTCAGTTTTTTTTTTTTTTTTTATATAAATCCCAAGGTATTTTTCTTAATTAACTCCCCATGTGATTTTGGGTAAACCAGGTATATTTGTCAGGCCCCAGTCAGCAATTTATAATACAGGGCTTGACAAATACCAGGTTGTCATGGCGAGTAGGAATTTTGTCCTGGTGCCTGGGATGTCTCGACCCGACTCAGCGATGGAGAAGGCAAGTGTAGAGGGAGAACAGAGGCGTGCCTGTGGCGGAATGTGTGGAATGGAGCCGGGTGGCGAGGCCCGGCATACTAAACAGTTTATGATAGGGAGATGATAGCAGCCCCACTGGACCCCATGGTGTGCGAGTGAGTATATGTGTCTGTTTAGGTGACCGGTCCCTCTCTGATTGCATGGGAAAGGTGATTTTACTCACATTTCTTCCCACGCCGTGGCTGGACCCGCCTCCTTGGCTGAGATGATCAATCTTGATCATTTTGATAAAGCATTGGGAGGCTCTTGCGCACTAATCTGCATCTCGTGGAGAGGCTGAACATAGTGACTTCACTACATGTGTTACCGGCAGCTATGTAAACAGTCTTTTCTTTTTGAAAACCGGCTATAGATACCAGAACCACTACATTAAACTGCAGCTATAGTACTGACTATAGTGTTGCTGAAAATTAAGCTTTGTTAGTAAAAAAATAAAAATACTGGCTCCTAGATTCCAAGCAAATTTGTCAAGCTCTGTCTTAATGAATAATTTATTGTAATGGCATTGTCTTATGAAGATAAAATATTAAGTGTCCATAAAGCCATCTTAAAATCGACTGCACTCGCTTAATCCAGGAACTCCCCAAATCCACAAAGTGTTATAAAATAAAAAGTGGCATACAAGAATCGCGCATCCTAGCTTAAAAAATGCATGTGTATAAATGTCAAATTTAATTATCTCCTAAATGAATCTACTTATTGTAGCATTGTTGCCATGGAGTGTTTTTAAATTGGAAAATATGGAGTTATTTACTAAAAACGGATTCTTTCTAAAAATAACCGAATTACAACAACATTGGCAGTTCTCGTGTTTAGTAAATATGGTTGAAATTTTGTCAGCACGAAGGAACCTGCAGCAATCTCCCGGATACAATCTGTATCCAAATTAAAATGTTCTTTCACATCTGAATCCTAAAAAAAGTATAGGATTCAGAAGAATGACAAAGCACAGGTTTAACTAAAATTTAGATCCAATGCATCCAGAGGATGTAAATTACTATTTACTGGCCTAGGGGGAGGATATTGTCCTCCCCCTTGATCCTCACCCATTGACTTAATCTGGGGGCCCTAATAATATTCAGAGTGTAAGAGCTAATGTCCTACCCCGGCCCCCATTCATTGGCGGCAGCTGTGGGCTGTAATAATAATATTCATGGGGGTGTACATGCCATTGTCAACTCCTCCTTCCTAGATCAATTTCTTTTACTTTTAACACTAACCTATTGTATGAAACCGTATCCAATGTCTTGGCAAAATCCATGTAGATATCAACTGCAACACCCTGATCTATACTTTTATGAACTTCCACGTAGAATGCAATAAGGTTAGTTTGATACGACCTATGTTTTATAAACCATGCTAATTATTGCTAATAACAATGTTCTTCCCAATGAATTCACTAAAAATCATTCAAATACTTTTCCAGCCGCAGCAGTTAAATTCACAGGTCTATAATCTGCAGACAGAGATTTTGAATGCTTTTTGAATATAGGAACCACTTCTGCCTTCCTCTAATCAGGAGGGTGGGGTAAACTAGTGAATAATGTCCAATAGGCCATTATATTTTAAATTAATTAACAAATTTAGATAGGGCAGGAATAACCTTTTCATATTTTACAGCTCAGATTCGGTCTCTTTACTTGAACAATGTAAAGATTACTGTTTTCTAAAAAGTACCTCTTCTGACAACTGCTAGAGGCACTTACCCATTAAGATCTTGAATTTCAGAGATCTTCAATTTGTCACGATTATGCATAGCATAAAATTAAAAACAATAAAAGGGGACTGCGCACACACCCAGCTAAAGGTGCAAGTGAGGGACAGGCTGTGAACATTTATTTAATCACCTTTTTATTTATTTTCTAATTTTATGTATGTGATAAGTGTAAAAGTGACAATACAGTTGGGTGATTTTCAAAGCGCACTGAGTTATATTATTTTAGCATCAATTAACCCTTAAAATCTTTTAATTGTTTAATTATACACTGCATGATCACTCAGAATAAGACTAATAGTGGTAGTACAAGATTTTGAGCTTGCTGAGAAAGTTAAAAATCTGTTATTATAGTGTCATTTATATACTTAATTTTATCATGAATAATGACTTGAGAATGTGGTTCTCCATAAAGCCTAAGCAGTCCCCAGTATGAACTGTCCTTGAAAAGCTTCATGTTGGAGAGAGAGAGGAACCTGCTTGTGAATCTCTATCTCCTTTCTATAATTGTTTAATTTGTTGTGTGGGCAGTTTACTGAAGCCTTTCTTTCACAGTACTGTCAAAGGCTGGTGGCTGATGGTAGATATCTAAATACTCTGTAAATTTTGGTGCTCTGTTCTGCCAATTAACCCAGTCAGTGCTGTAGAGTCATGCAGCTGCTCTGTTCATTTTATGAGTCACCATCTGGCAGCAGAGTTGCGGGGAAAAGCAGCAATTGAAAGGAGAAAAAGTAAAAGGTCTAAGCTAAAAAAACAAAAAACATGCTACTGTCAATCTACTCTGGAACAGAATATACATAGTTAAAGGGTTACTCCAGGCATCATGAACACTTCATTGGTTTGAAGTCGCAATGGTGCCTGGAGTCTGTATATACAGAGTTTAGAAACAGAACATAAAGTACAGGTTGTGCCAATATATCAAATATAAAATACTACTAGCTCCTAAATGTACAAATGAGAAAGGTGCTATAAAGAAGAAGCCACATATAAAACATTAATAAAAAGGACAATGGAATGCCGAGGGTATGAAACAGTCCTAAAAAAACAGTACTTTTTGTATGAAGTCCTTGAAACCGTTCCAATCAATATCAGCGTATATAAGAAAACAGAAGACAGAAGGAACCAATAGTGCAATATGGCAAATAAAGTGGGCTACAGACAACACTGAGATATATAAAAATGCCAACTCACATCTCATAGAGCTATGATCAACTCCAGGTAAAACAGCATGTAGTGGTATAAAATCCCCACTTGTAGGATATCCCTCTGATGGTAGTTTCACAGCTGGGTAGTGGTGGTATGGGTCATATGAAAATAAAATAAAAAGCCAATAGTGCTCTACATACAGGTAAGTATAAATAGAAAAAAAAGGAAACATGCTTACAATAAAAAGAGCAGACTAACTGCTTTATGTGCCACGCAAGGGGGAATAATTTCCACCGAGGATTCTTTGGATGTTGGTAATGCTGGTGCTTCAGACGATAAAATCAGTGCCAGGTAAAAAGTAACAAAGGCAAAATAATAAGTATTTAGGCTAACTAAAAACAGTAAAGTAGCCAAATAATACTTTTATTAAACAGTAAGTAGTAAAACCACAACTTTATCAAGTGGAATTTCTCATGTGAGGAGGTTTAAATCTCTGCTAAGACCAGGGAGACAGAAATGTCCCGATAACTGGGGCCATACAGATGAGCTATTTGCATTTTTCAAAATGAACGCTTCCTTCAGCCCTATAAATCTATTGAACACACCTTAGCTGAACAGTTTGCACAGCGGTTATTCTCTAGCTGTCAACTGCTGAAGGGAGACCCACAGGGTCTCTGTGTGCCCTCCTGCCGATTGTAACAGGTACCCCGCTCATAGTGTGATTGGTAGGGAAAGCATGCTGGAGATTCACCATTACAGGGGGGGTCATGCTGAAAACCCAGTAGATGGTAATCGCAGACTGCTCTCGGCTATTTTAGCTAGGAAATCTATTTCCTGATACAAGTGCTGATATCAAAAGGAATTACTTCGGGTAGGGTAACGTTAGGGTTAAAGGACCACGCCACACCCCAAAAGCACTTAAGCTTGCTAAAGTGCTTTATGAGTGAGGAGTATCCTTGTTTAACCCCAGTTTATAAAAGTGCTGTATAATATGAGAAATCAGCACTTCTATAAATTAACTAGGGAACACCACCCCTGGCTGTCAACCGAACATTCAGGGAGGATTCCTTTCTACTTCCGTTGGCTCCCCAGAGATAACAGAAGTGACAGGCACACTCTACTTGAGCATGCCTGCCTCTCCCTCCCTAACCGACCTCAGACCAGCTGGTCAGCTTCATCTGTGCACACGCAACCAATCTTGGTACACGTGTACACGAGCTGGCGCGCGTGTGCACATGGGGGGCAAGTCATTGGTCATTTCCCTTTGAAGAGACTGAAGGTCTCTTCCGGGGAAAAAAAGGGTGTGGGGGAGCTTACAAAAGCTGCAGTCATAAGAACTGCAGCTTTTGTAAGCTATTTTAACCTATACTCCCAATTAATGTATTATTTTGGGTATATCTACTAAACTGTGGGGGGGGGAGGGGAAAATGGAGTGGGTCCTTTAGTGCTGTGTAAGGTAAAGAGTATGAGTAAGGTGAGTGAGTGTAAGCATAGGAATATGGTTAGTATAGCCTTTGCAGGAATTTTTAATAGAGCCTAAACATATAAGGCATTTAAAGGGACAGTATAGTCACTAGAATCACTACAACTTAATGTCGTTGTTCTGCTCTCTATAGCATAGCCCTGCAGGCCTTTACATGTAAATGCAGCCTTTTCAGAGAAAAGGCAATGTTTACATTGCTGCCTAGAAACACCTCTAGTGGCAGTCACTCGGACAGCCACTGGAGGTGCTTCCTATTTCAGTGTCTTCCTACATTCAGCGCATCTCTATAGGGAAATGCTGAACATCAAAATTGATAATGTCCGCCGTGGAGGCAGGGCCTGCCACAGCGAGATTGTCAATGTATTGGAGAAAGTTTAAAACCTATTAATTCTACTCTGAGGGGGCTTGGACCTAAATAGTTAGTCCAACACTACAGTGTCTGGAATACATGTTTGTGTTCTTAAAACTTTAGTGTTCCTTTAACAATCTGGACTGAAACGTGAGTCTATTTTCCTTAATTGCTTTTATTGTGTAAAAAGCATTTTTAACATTTTATTCACTTATAACTTTGTGTTAGGTATATTTATAGGATATAAAAATAAAAACCCTTTCTGTCCTTGAAAAAAACCATTTATAATAACGAGGGTTTGTTTTGGTTCAGAGCTTGGGCAATTGCCTCAGTCCATGAGGTTAAATGTGTGCTTCTAATCTCTGGCAATGTAAATATTTACACTATTTTCCATTCTGTTGTTGAAGTTTGCTTGCTAAAAGGAAACTGTTATTTATATTTTACTGGTTTGTTTCCTTTACCCAAAATGCATTTTATGTTTGACTTTTTGTCTACTTTCACACATCTCCATACGTTTCATGACTTTTAAATTTACATTTAAGGGATTACTCCAAACACCGTGACCAATTCAGTCATTTGAAGTAGTTATGGTTGCCGGAAAGAATGTGTGTGTGTGTCTAGTTTCAGTATGAAAAGCTGAACATACAAAGTTTAGCTAATCTACTGCCAGTGGTGTAACTTCACCTCAGGCAGCAGCATTGTGGCATTATTCTTGGTGGCTAGTGTTCTGTGAACATTATTGAACCTACATCCTCAACACACAACATGCTGGCGACAGGCATCCAATGATGGCACGGCCTCTCACACCTTCATTCCATCAACGTCCTTCGGTTCAACACTGTTTTATGGTGGGATTTACTAATTTAATTGCAAACCATCAATTGTGCAAGCATACAGTACTGTCTATTAAAATCTTTGCCATTGTTTATTTTTCCACTGTAAAAATACCCTTTAACATTACTCTGTCCTCTTCTTGCAGGTGAGAAGCCCCACCAGTGTAGCATTTGTTGGCGGTCCTTTTCTTTACGAGATTACCTACTCAAGCACATGGTCACTCACACAGGCGTCCGTGCTTTCCAGTGCTCAATCTGCTGCAAGAGATTTACCCAGAAGAGCTCCTTGAATGTCCATATGCGCACCCACAGGCCTGAGCGCTTCCAGTGCTGCTTCTGTAATAAGTACTTTTCACATCGCACACTTCTGGAAAGGCATATTGCTACTCATACGGCATGAGCTACAATGTTTCAGCCTAAGCAGTAACAGTAAATAACATTGAGAGGTTTGCCCTATTCTTGCTAAACTGGCATGTTTTCAAGGGAGCAATGAAAAGTACGATTGAAAGTGGGCTGCCCGTATCGCCCTATTACTCCAGTGTCTTATGACTTTAAAGTGCAGTAGTATTGAGTCTTCTAAATACTTCATATCTCCATTTTTTTTCTTACAGTGTACGCACTTACACAGCATGTTAAGATTTCTATAAGTAGTCTACTGCAATTAGGAAAAGTGGACTTTCATCTTTGTAATATATGAGAACATTGCCTGATCATTTTGTGTGATCTGCTCTGGTTCATTTCTAACTCAGCATTTCATACAATAAGACTTTGCTAATCCAAACGTTGAATCATTGTTTATAGTATGAGACACTTGCTTACAGAAGACTGTAGCAGTTTTTGTATGCAGAGTAAGAACTGGGATCCAGCTTTAAATTCAACAAGGCCGGGGGAATCTGCATTCCACTGAAAACATATCTTCTAAGCTTTGCTTAGCAGTCTGACTTAACTGCATCTTTTGCTTGAAGGCCACAATTGAAATGTGGTACATTCTGCAGAGGAGTTTTACTGGAGGACACAAAAGAAGCGTACATCCATGGTGTAATAGACCAGTTATGTGACTCTGTGACACATTCACCTACTGGTTAGTTGTTGAGCGACTTTGAAGAAGGTTTATAAGGCTGTAGTGTTTATGGTTGGCATTGGCCGTCCAAATAATGCTCTCTGTTAGGAACATACTACCAACAACTAACCTTTACCTTTATTCTTTCAAGAATGATATAGTGGGCATACTCTATATTAAAGATAATATAAAAGTCAGTTAATGATTGACTGATCATGGTCAGTATTTACCAGATGGTTCTGTCTAAAGCTAAAATAAATTCTGCTCAATACTACATTTTAAACTTTAAAATAATACTTCCCTCCCTAAATACCAAAGAATTTGCCGAAAGTAATTTGATTTCTTTTCGAACTGAAACAATGTCCAGATGGTGCCTAAATAATTTTGATAGCAAATATGTTGCACACCATTTGAGCGTGTAGGAGAAATATCCCATCAAATCATCCCCTAAAACCAAAGATGACCTTGGTGCAACAGTATAACATGTAGTGTTAATTAAACTGCTGAAATTAGCTTGTGACATTGGCCAGAGGTACTGGCCAGTATAAATAATAAAACAAATATCATCACTGACATCTGCACATTACTATGCTGATCTGTACATGAAATTGTACCATCAATGATGCAACAGAAAATCTTATCAACTTCGGCCACAGAGTCGACACCAGATTTGCACAAGTGTTGGACCTCATTTATAAAATGGTATTTCACTATGGCCTAATTTATAAAGTGGTATTTCACTATGGCATGGTGGCTGGCCTGCTTGATTGGTGAGAATCTTTGCTAGCCTCTGGAAGGCTCTGATTTGTCAGCTGGCACAAATATTTCATATAGTAGCTGATACTATTTGGAAAATGATACCAGTAAATAACTTTTTGTAATATTGTGTAATTAATATTACAACTTAATTATTGACCTGTGTAAATAATGTTATTTAACCACAGTCTAAAAAATGTGTTTGTATTTATGAATGTGTGTGTGTGGTTTGCTGGCAACAATTAATCTATACAATGGCACTACTTATATACTGTTTGTCTATAATCGTATCACATGCTTTTTAAAACTTTTACAGTTGAATGTATTTATACTGATAAGTTGAAAATTAGATTTTATTATTAGAGCATCTTATTTTTATTTAATATTTTTTTTTTCCTTTTATGTGAATCTTTTTTTTTTTCTCTTTCTATATCCACACAAATATCCTTGTAGCACTCACTCATTTGATTTATTAAGTTGTATTCTTTCAAGTGGTGCATCTGCCCATCTATGTGGAAATACTAAAATACAATTTGCTCCTTTTGGGGATATATATATATATATAATTTTTTTTTATTCTGCAGCAATGTCCTTTGTAAAGGTGGCACCCAGCGAGAGGGGCAAGTCGGTGTACTTAAATTAATCTCTTACTCCATGCCTTGTTGTTTTCTTTTTTTGTCTAGGTCTACAGCTCCTGGTGGCTTTATCTGCTGCGGGTCACGTGACTATTTTACTTTCGTGTAAGAGCACAAGACCTGGGTCTGTGGAAGATCTATCTAAATCACTGTCTCTTCCATAGACAAACTGATGCATTTGCAGTGAGATGCTGTACGGATTTATTGTATATCACGTGAGAAAATACCTATTTCTAATAGCAATATCTAATAGGAAATGGCAAAATGTCGATCTGCCGTGATTACGTCAGAATTTCAGTAAAATTCTGGCTTTTTTTCTTCTCTCATAAAGATCCTACCTTAATGAAAAATTCAAAAGTGAACGTGCTATTTTAAATATCTGCAGTGGAAGAAAAAAACACTTAAGGCTTGCTAATTGAGCTTTGATAGCTCTGTATAGACAACATTTTTTATTGGTACTAATTGCTTGTCAGATAAGTAACGCCAGAATTTTTAACGAGACACTATTGCTCTTTACATGTCCTGATGAATGCATATTCAGCCTATTGCACTAAATTGCATTCCTGTACAGTAAGTTTGAGAGGAGCAGTATCGGAGATTAGTAATTAGTTACAGCAAGGCATGTTTGAAACTAGCTTGCTTGTACAAAAAGTACATACGTTTTTTTGAAGGGTTGGCAGCAAAATTCATAAATATTCATATTGTATACTACAGTATCATAGCAGTCAACCGTGGAAGCAGGTCTTCTCAGAAAGGTGTGTGTTTAGTGTGCAGGTGCACTGACTGTTAGACAGGTAATATCTCTGCGCAGAGTGCTCTACAAAGCTTGTATACAAGTTTCTTTCTATCACTACCACAATAGCACATTTCAATGATTTTCATCACTGAAAAAGCGTAAACTGAACACCTAGGAATAATTTGGGCAAGCAAAGTCCTATGTTATTTAAAAAAATAAATCTGCAATAGGAGTACCTCCACGTGTCTCTTTATTGAAGCAGTTTTGGTGTATAAATCATGTCAAGTAGTCTCACTGCTCAATTCTCTGCCATTTTAGTGGTAAATCAATTTATTTATACAGCTCTAGGCACACCTCCTGTAAAGCGAGATCTAATGAATAAACTTCCTTTATTACACTGTTAAATTTAGAATTTATCTCCTGCTCTGTTAATAGCCTTCTAGACCCTGCAGGAGCCTGCCGTGTGTGTGTGTTTTTAGACATCAGTTTACAGAGCAGAAGATAAAAACTTCTAAAGAATCTATACACTAAAACCGTTTCATTAAGCTAAAGTTGTTTTGGTGACTATAGTATGTCATTCACATTGCTTCCTGTCTTTTCCACAATTACCACACTTGCTTTTCCCGGCTATCTTTTTTCCCTAACCCTTTAAAGAAATTTTTTTATTTTTTATTTATTTTTTTACATGTTTTGAAAAAAATGCTATCAGACCGTATAGGAGCAGGGTGTATTTTGACTGTAAATTTGCAAGTAAATGAGGTGATTTTCATAATCCCATTATTTATTTTAAAAAAATGAAGTAAATGTAAAAATTAACAGTAATTGTCACCTGAAGGATCAGAAAGTACACCAGTATTCCAGAAGCTTATCAAATATTCAGAGAGATTAGCGCACAATTTACAAAAAGTCTGAATTTAATAGTTTAACTCTGTTTAATCTATTGTGCGTGTAATGTAATTTTTTTCTTCCGCTTTTTATTTGGTGTTCAAAGTCTTGATCATATTGCACAATATAATTCTGTAATAGCTATTACTAACAGATTTTTCTTTATTATTTTTTTTTTTTAATAAACGTAATTTTTCTTTTATTAGACTGAAACTGTGGACCCCAAATCCCTTCATTCCTGCCACCATCCATATTTACTCAAAATATAACTCCTGAAATTATGTAGCAGTTTCTTTGCATAATGTTAGTTATGTGTGTTTGCATGTAAAATAGCTATTTAAAAAGTTGGAAGAGCAAAAACAAAATAAGCATTAATTCTTTTTCTACTTTTTCAGTAGACTCTAGAAGCAGAATGTCAGTTTTTGTTTATGCCATCACCACTACTGAATTGTTATTGTAAAGGATGTAGTGGGCATAATGTATTAAGTGTTGAAGTTGGATAAAAAAAAAAATCCTATTTTTTTTTTTTCAGCTGTGGACTCCATTAAAAAATAAAATAAAAGCAATTTATTTTTCCAGCAGGTTGCTTTAAGGATTTATCCCATGTTCTAATGAGCTCTGGCAAAAAGTGTAGTATATGAAATAGTTGGAAGGGAGAGTTTAGGCACCATAACTTTAGCTAAATGTTATGGTGCCAGGAGGCCCCCAGGGGCTTTCTTACCTTAAGGGTTTAAACTGTTTTCGAACGGTTTAACCCCAAAGTATCTTCCAGCAGCGATCTCTGCTCCCCTCCGGTGGCATCCAGCTTCATAAAAGTGAAATTTCAGAAGCCGGATGCTGCCTGGGGGGGGAGCTGAGATAGTCGCTGGAGGCAACTTTGGGATTAAATCACTCAATGATATAACCACTTGAGGTAAGAGGGCCCCAGGGTCCACCTGACACCATAACAACTGCATTTAGATAAATATATTTTGGTGCCTGGAATGTTGTTTTAAAGCCAATATAAAACCTTTTTTTATAACAGTGTCTCCTAAATTAGTAAAAAAAATCATTTTTTTCTTTGTTGTAGACTATTAAGATGTTGTGTAAATAAGGTGACAAGTTTACATTATGTACATTTTTTTCCTAGAATATCACAATTTGAATTTACAGTATGTAAATTTTCTTTCAGCTCACTAGTGGGTGTAACTCAAGTGTTGACCTCCGCCATTAATAAAGTTAAAAAGCAGCAGAAGCCAATTATTCTAAAGTTAGGCAAAGTGGGGAAAAAACGTGCTTAATGTGAATATTTGTATGATTTCAAAATGAAGTGATAGGAGATTATACATAGATAAAATTGCATACATCCATAGTACACAGGATAATAATCTTTAAAAACTAAATGAAAGCCCTTCACAGATGAATAGTTTAGCTTTTCTTCCATGAATAACATTATAACAAAGTACCTTGATGTGAAGGGCCTTAATGTTTTACACCAGATTCATCAGATAAATTGCAAAGTCTGTTCCAAGCAGAGTTAAACGTTATAAGTTTAATCTTCTGTGAAAATAGATTGTCTGAGAGTTCTTAATTTTTGTAGGATTGGAAACTTTTTAATAAAATGTAATGCTTTATGTAGATTTTAAATAATTTCTACATAATACATTCATAGCTTGAAAACTAGACACATTGGAAAAACTAATCCACCTTATATAGGCAGAATTAGATCACTTCTATTATGTAAAAAAATTTAGAATTTTTTGTTTCCACTAGCTCTAATGGGGTTAGGAGTTATGTTTATATAAGCCAGAACAGAACAAAGCCAAAAATGTATCTTATACATTAAAACCCTAATAGTTGTTTCATGAGCCATAAAGTTATTTGTCTGTAGACCTTAAATTACACAAAATGTAAGGCAGCAGCTGTTTAAATTATGGGAGCCATGGCTAATGTATGGTAATAAACTAGCACTGTATCCGTCGTAAGTAGGCGCAGATACACAAATTAATCTTTAGGTTATGTCAGCAGATTTGTTAGCAAAAATATAGATCAATAATTACTAACCTTTGGCATTCCATTGGCTGTGGACTCAAATTCCCACGATACTCGGCCAAAAAAGTGATTTCCTGAAAATCATCAGTGTAGTCTACACTAGGCGGCTATACCAAAGGTTACCTACCACCACTATAGATCAAGGGATTTTTTGCTTGAACCATTACTTCATATTTAAGGAGTCCAACAGTATTCACTGTGATAATGTCACGTTGAGGACTGAGTCAGCTCATTTCCTCTAACACTATACATTTGCTTACAATTCTGTATATGTATGCTCTAAATTCGCACTATTCCAAAGTCCTAGTATGGATTTTACCTGGCTGTAATAGGCTTGCATCAAAGGGCGTGCATGCTAGGTAGGACTCGATTTTTATTTTTTGTTCAGTGTGTTTTCTTATTCTTTATGTTCACAAAATATCAATGTAACCAGTTGTCTAATAAACATATTTGTTTTTCTAAGGAATTTTATTATCTTTGTGTTATTTTATTGCAGATTACTCTTATAAAGAAAACTATGAATGCCCTTTTAATGTGTGGTAGGGTGTCGCTTCCTAGATAAGTGTTACTGGTATGTTCTAGCTAAACGTCTTGCAAATAACATATAAATTGTTTTACTATTGAAGTCTTGATTACAATGCTATCCTGTCAAACATAGAAATACAAATCTACTTCAACAATTCAATTTTTTAACATTTCATTTTTTCATTTTTTTTTTTTAATTCTTTATTTTGGTTGTGCTTCACTAGGTATTTAAAGTAATAGACATGTCTGCTGTTTCAACAATATTTCACAAAAAGAGAGAAGGATCATGTCAATGGTATATCACACATTTTATACATTTTTAACTACTAAACACTGCAAAAGCATTATACTGGAGTCCATCAGCTAATGAATAGTGTGTACATGATCTGGAGAGTCTCCAAGTATCCTTTGGAAACAGGGACTGTCACACTTTATACTAAGTGATAAGTATATCGGCTGTTCTATTCGCCGAAATGGCGGTCAGCTGTGTCTAGTGAGGTCAGCAGTGGCATAGGTCGTCATGTAGAAAGTCGCTTTTTTTATACATATGAGAAGGCATTTGTCTGTCAGTTGGTGGGGTGAGGGAAGGATGCTATTGCTGTCTGCTTCTACGTCAGCTTGTGGAGCCAGAAAAATAGAAAATTAAGGTAAATGAATCAGTAATAACAGAAATATAAACCACTGGCAGTGGTAGTAGCCCCAAAAATGAAAACCTAACGTTAGATGAGAGAACTGTGTGCAGTTAGCTCAAGATCCTGCAGTTCACATCGAAGAGAGTGGTGAAACTCTTCAGGTCGGTGCGTTGCTAGATGGTGATGCTGCTGCTCTTGGTACAAATGGAGTTATCCGGTCAACTGACCACCTCATTCGAGGTGTTGCCGATAGGGATCCGTCTGGCAGTCCAGCTCGCAGAGCAGATGCCTCTGAGAGCTGAGTGAGGGAGTGGGTCTTGCCACCCTTTTCCACCAGGAGCCTGTGCATCCCCCATTTGTAAGGTACCTTGTGGAGTGCTGCAGAGCTGGTGTGGCGGGATAAGTCCCTGTTACGGTACCCGCAGCATGAAATGCACAAACTGCCGTTTAGTGAATCCTCCCCTCTCACAATAGCATAGGCTGCATGCATATCCCGTACAATCATGCGAACCGCAAGCAAGGGAACACTGTAAACTCACGAACGGGATCCGTACGGGCACTTCCCTTCACGAGCTCCAAACTCTCGAATCGTCAATAGTAGCCGAACGCATAATCTCCCAAGCGGCTGATAATCCCGTCCAGCAGTCTCTAGTCGTCGGTAATAAATGCCCCCAATAACGAGACCAAGCTCTGTATTGAGGGTAAAACATGAACTGGCTTTACTGTGGGCTACCTGCCCGTATTTATGCAGGTCTCCCACCTGGTGGACACTCCCCTAGGGGACCAAATGGGAGACTGTAACAATAGACAGACATATGGCAGGTTAGGACCCACTGACACAGAATATTCCCAGCATGCATTAGTATTTCCTCCCCTCTGCCCTGGAGATAATTGAGAAGTAATTCAATTATCTCCAGGACAGAGGCAAATCGCCATTTTAGATTCAACACAGAAAAACATATAAAAATACATAACTTTACAATTGTCGAATGTTACCCATTCGTATCACATATCCCCAGATAGCCTGGATCTGAGTGCATATTATTGGCGAATAGCGCTCAGATCCCATACGCATAGTTCAATCGCCATGGAGTCAAAGTCTATTACAGTCTTTCGGCATGTGATTGACTCCATGGGAAATCTATCTGGGGTAAGTCCATCTGTGCGTTTAAACCTCCCGAACGGCCGGTGTTCGCATACTTCTGTCGATTGAGAAGGGAGGTCGGCAGCTTCAGCGGTGTTCGGCTGAAAAAGTGTCCGTTTTCAGATCCATGAAATCAATGCCGAACACCGCTGGTCTTTCGCATGGTTTAAAATGGCCGCCGCCTCGTGGTCGACATACGAACGACAACCACCCTGTATTCGGTTTTAATTGAGAAGTGTCTGCGGTTAACCGCAACGTTCTAATTGGGATCAAGAGGTTAACCAGCAGCACACTTCTCCTCTGGGTGGCCGTCCGTTCGGTAGTTTTGTTCGGCGGAAAAGTCAATTCGCTGAACAGGGGCATACGAACGGGTAATTCCACGAAAAGGCAAAACAGACAAACCAGCAATCTTAGTCTGATGGATCTGTCACAGTCCCTATAGAAGGTGAGATGATGGCCCTTAAAATCCACAGAAGGTGTATTCCTGGTTGCCCCAATAATGATCCCCCTGTTAGAGTCCCGGACAAATTTTGTAAAAGTGTATGTGAAATAGTTTGAAGGTAGAGTTTAACCTCTGGAGGAGCTTTAGGTTCTTTAGGCAAGCGAAAGCAAGTCTATTGCTACTTGTTTCACCTGTTTTGGTGATCGAAGCATGGTCATTAGCAACCTGAGATAATGAAGCAGTTCTTCGGCTGTGACCGTTTCCCCTTAAGTCTCACTTTTCTCGCCTTTGTCTTGTCATGCAGGATAGCCAGACGATTAAGTATTGCTGCATTGCTCTTCTGGACTGCGTGCAGAGCTGCATCTGTAGCAGACTGTGCCACCTTCACAGTCCCCATATCTTCTTCTGTCATGGTAATCCTGGTGGCAAGTGTGGCTACTTCTTCCCTGACCACTGCCACTTCAGCTTGAAACATTGCCCTTATTTCTTGGAGTTGGGCTTTTATGTCGGCATTGGTGGAAGGGGCCCTTGGGCAGTTTTTGGTACTACCTTGAACTCTGAGAGCTGTTCAGGGAGGCTCTCCACGTCCGAGGACTCCGACATGAAGGCCTCCGCCAGCGACATTTTAGGGGCCTCGGGCCTAGTAGTTTGCCGCAGAAGCGTGCCGATATTGCGGGACCCAGGGCTCGGATCGGTTCTGTGTTTATTGCTGCGCTTCCCCATCCGCTTCGGGAAGGCTGGTGTGGAAGGGAATTGCTTTGTGACCGAGTAAAGCTGTCAAAATTAGCCGTTTACTATGGACTTTGCACAGAGCTCTCATCTCCTGCGTCCATCCCGTGAGGCTGCTCAAAATTTCATAATGTAAATGAATTTTGATAAGCTCACGATATGGAAAAAAATTTAAAGCAAAACACCATCAAAATATACCTTGTGTGCTCAAACAAAAACAACCTCATAATGTTCCTCTCGCTTTGGTTGGAAGAGCGATAAAATTATATATGGCACCAACATATTCTGCAGCCCTGTACACGAGGAAAACAAAACCGACACCAAAATGTAACAAAACATGAGCGACATACTGGACCAAACTTACAATATAACTGTTTTCCTGAATTGAAACTTCTCTTCCATAAGTTAGCCAATGGATTAATTTTTCTTTCTTTTTATTTATTTTTTTAGCAATAACTTTTTCCCCCCAAAAAAATATTTTATTGAGAAATAGATATACATTTATACATCTAAAACATTGAAGCAAAATGTTTTCATACATAGTATTTGTGTTTTCTACAACTAATGTTTATTATTCTTTTCAGAAGAAAAAGGACAATAAAATAAAAATGGTAAAAGGAAAAAAAAATAGTGTAATAAAAGAAAGAGAAGATACAGTATTAGACCAATCAAAGAGAAATTAAATGCAAGCCATGTCAGCTTGTCTGATGCAAAATCAGCCAGCAAGTGAGCAGCATTTGGATGACTTGGAAGGGTGCAGTGATGGGATGGTAAAGGGAGGAGGCATATAGGTGAGGGGAAAAAGAGAATGGAAAATAACAACCTGATTATTACCAAAACTGCTTTCTAAACAGGGAATCACAGACTTCAAGGCAGTGTGGGGTTGTGTGCTGCAGAGCTGCTGTCATATTCCTGATATACTAGATTTTGGCATTCATGTACTCATGAGTGGGAAGCGTAAATTTCCAATAGTTTGCACTTTACACTGCAGATTTGCATTTTGATTTTTGGATTTGGATTTGGATTTTTTAAAATCTGATCAGCTGGTAATTACGGTACAATCCTAGGGATCCAGCATTAGTTCAACTTGTAGGCATCTACTGAACCTAGGTATCACAGTATCTGAACTTAAGGACATTTCCTCCTTGTAGTGAGCCTTTTCTCTGCAGCTGTGGAGGCCCATGCACATGCCAGCAAGAAATCACTTTGTAAGCCTTCCCCTCCTTAATCACTGTGTTGGCCTTTACCTATGCTGTGTTGGTGAAACTTCCACCTACGTCTCACTATTAATTTCCTCTGAGATCTGCCTCCCAATGAGTTAGAGTGAGGGAGACGAGTATTTGATCCCCTGCTGATTTTGAACGTTTGCCAATGACAAAGAAATGATCAGGTTATTATTTTTAATAGTATGTGTATTTTAACAGTGAGAGACAGAATAACAAAAAAATAAAAATCCAGAAAAACACATGTCAAAAAAGTTATACATTGATTTGCATGTCAATAAGTATTTGATCCCCTATCAATCCGCAAGATTTCTGGCTCCCAGGTGTCTTTTATACAGAAAACGAGCTGAGATTAGGAGCACTCTCTTAAAGGGAGTGCTCGTAATATCAGCTCGTTACCTGTATAAAAGACACCTGTCCACAGAAGCAATCAATTTATCAGATTACAAACTCTCCACTATGGCCAAGACCAAAGAGCTGTCCAAGAATGTCAGGGACAAGATTGTAGACCTACACATGGCTGTAATGGGCTACAAGCAGCTTGGCGAGAAAGTGACAACAGTTAGTGCGATTATTCACAAATGGAAGAAACACAAAATAACTGTCAGTCTCCCTCGGTTTGGTGCTCCATGCAAGATCTCACCTCGTGGAGTTTCAATGATCATGAGAACGGTGAGGAATCAACCCAGAACTACACGGGAGGATCTTTTTAATGATCTCAAGGCAACTGGGACCACAGTCACAAAGAAAACAATTGGTAAACCACTACTCCGTAAAGGACTGAAATCCTGCAGCACCTGTAAAGGAGGTGGAAACATTATGCTTTGGAGTGTTTTTCTGCTAAGGGGACAGGGCAACCATCAAATCTTGGGTGAGAACCTCCTTACCTCAGCCAGGGC